TGGACCCTGGGGGTGGGGTGTGCACGGGTGGGGCCTACATGGGGTGGAGCCTACGGGGGTGGGGCCGACATGAGGGGGCTGGAGGGATGGGGTCTGCAGGGGACCGGAAGCGGGGTGACTTGTGCATGGGGCAGGGTCTGGAGGCCAGACCGAGCCTGGGCATGGGGTTCACATGTGGTGGGACCTGCATGGGATGGGGCCCAGGAGAGGAGTGGGGCCAGGCCTGAGGGCGAGACCTGGGGTGGGGTCGTGGTGGGGCGAGGCCCAGGCGAGGGGTGGGGTCTAGAGGCGGCCCCTCCAGCCAAGGCCTGTGTCTCCTCCAGGATGGGGACGTGCAGCGGCACCTCTACCTACAGAACATACTCACCCAGGTGGCTGAGGTTCCTGAGGGATCCAAGTGAGCCGCTCCAGGGACCACAGACCACCCGACAGATGTGCTCTGACCCACCTGTTGACCTCTTGCCCATTTCCTGAAAGCCTTTTCCCCAGAGTCCTTTCCTGTGCCCCGACTCAACCCCTCGTCCCTCGTTCCTGTTCGCTTGTCCCTGCAGCCCCCCTTCTTGTCCTGCCTCTGCAGCTTTCCCAAGCTCTGTAGCTGCAGGATACAACTTTCTTGCAGGACTTTCCCGATCTGGGTGGTCCAAGCTCTCTGGCCCTTTGCCCCCAAGAAACCTGTTACTTTGAACTCAATGGATTCCACTTTGTAGGACCCTTTAGGACAGAGTAGAACTGCCTCATCTTTCTTCCTTGGAGTACCTGGTGGGCCCGAATCCTGATGTAGCAGCAGAGACTGTAACCACAGCTACCAGGGCATTGTCACACATCCTCCTGGAAGTGCTATGCACCCTGCGCTGCCTGCAGGTCTTCTGTGGCTGCCTACTCCCCACCTAGCTTGTCGATGAATGTTTAATGTAGGAAAAGTGGGGTTTGGGGACATCCAGGTTCCATCACACTGCTCAGCAATGTGGCCAGGGCTCTCTGCTGCTGGCTGGGGTCCCACTGAGTCCTGTCCTCTCTACCCAGGGTGCCTGAGTTCCCCTGCCAGGTAGCGGGCTGCTCCCAGGCGTTTGACACCCTAGAAAGCTATGAGCACCATTACCACACGCTGCACAGGAGCGTCTGCTCCATCTGCAAGCGGGCCTTCCCCTCCAGCCACCTGCTAGACAGCCACCTCCTGGAGTGGCATGACTCCTTCTTCCAGGTCTTGGCTGAGAAGCAAGACATGGTGAGTAGCAGCCCATGCCATGGGGTTGGTGCCAGGCACTCTGTGTTTTTGGGGTGCTCCTTCTGTCGCCAAAGTCCAACCATGCACCATCCCAGAGCTAAGTACAGGCTGAGGGTCTGGAGTCATGATGGTGGAGTGACCAGTCCCTTTCAGTACCAGTGCTTGGTGGAGGGCTGTGAAGAGAAATTCAAGACTAGCAGAGACCGCAAAGACCACATGGTGAGGCATCACCTGTACCCCACAGATTTCCGGTTTGATAAACCCAAGAAGAACAAAGGGTATGTGCATGGCGTGGTGTGTGTATGTGTGCGTGTGCTGTACGTGTGCACAATTTGTGTACCACAGTGTTGCCTCCTTGTCTGTAGAGGGAGCTACTTGTCCACCTCTGACACGCATTTCCCTGGGACGCAGGCCATGCATCCATCTGGGTGTTACTTCATGTGACGTTCAGCTCCAGGTTATAGAAGCGTCAACATGGAGGTTACTAGCCAGAGGAGATTGAGGCTTGTGTGGTCCCCTGCTGAAAAAGAGAGCAGGAAAGAACCCCAGAGGTCCAGTCCTCCAAGTCTGCCCTGGATCTAGTAACGCTTAGCTGCCCCCCAGTTTTGTCTGGCCCACAGACCTCTGTTCCTGAGCTTTGCCTCCTTTGAGCATGTAGGGGACAGGCACTAGTGTAGAGACTGCCTCTGAGGGAGCCACCATCGTGCCCTAGGTTGTCAGCTGTCACGTCAGGCTCCGTAGCTTCTCATGTCCTGCAGTGACCACTGCCTGGCCTTGCTGTTTCCTAGAGCACTCGAAATTGTGAAAAATGCCTGGGATAATGGCTCAGCCCACGTGATGTTTCCCTCCTTCTTCTCCCATATGCTTGTTCTTACCATTAACCCTTGTAACCATCTGAAAATTGTCCCCGTCCTCAGGTCTCTTCTGACTATCATGCTTCCCCAGACAGTTCTTGCTATTCAGAGCAGCGAGGTAACTGTGAGAACAGCTTGTTATGGGGAGTCTCAGGGAGGCCTGGCAAGGAGGAAAGCTGACTGCATTGTAGGGCTAGGGTTGATGGGCATTTAGACACAGCTTCCTAGAACCTCAGCCTCTGGTTACTTTGAGTCACGAAGACACTTGGTGCTCTCAGAGGTTTTTTCCACAGACCTCCCTGAAAGTAATGCTTTCACTTAACAAATTACCAATACACTAAGTTTATGAAATAATACAATTTATTGTCCAAATGTTTGCCTTTGTCCCTGCATTAAGAGTTCTGGTCCCAGTGGTCTGACAGTTACATTGTATATTCAGACCATGCCAGAATGTTGCAAAAACACAGTCTCCTGTATCTGTCCGGTATGACAGGACTGTGGGCCGATGGGGTATGGCCACTGCTCACAGCCCTCTCCTCTGCAGCCCGGCCACACTGGTGCCTGCCCTGCCCAAGCTGCCCGCAACAGCAGAGGCCCTAGGGAGTCATGGTGAACATTCAGAAGGGGACGTCATGGAGGTCTGCTCTGAAGGACACGAAATGCCCCCCACGGTGCCTGTGGGTGAGAGCAGAGCCACACCAGGGACCCTGGGACGGCGGGCCTCCAGCCTCAGGTCAGTGTCTCTGATACCTTCCTGGCTGATGGGGTGCTGGATCTCATTCAAACGAGGGACACTTTGTTGGCACAGCGCTTCACCTGCAGGAAGGAGCCAGGGTTCTGCCTGTTGGGGTACCTTGCTTTCAGAATGCTGGTGTCTTGTGAGTCACTCAAGACTCCGAATGGCTGAGCTCGCGTCTGTCATGAGCTGTAGACTCTCCTGGTAGTAACTGTACTTTTGTGTACTTAAAATTTCATTTTCATTCCAGTTCTAGGGAAAATTTTTAACAAGTGGAGCAATCACTGACCTTCCAAACCACTAGGAATCATACTGTGTCCCATGACAGAGCCCTGGCCTGCAGAGAGTGTCCTGGGTGGGGACAGACAACAGGACGGCAGTGTTACCTGAGAGAGCAGGGTTGGGGAGGGGACTGTTCCTGGGCTGAGATGGCCAGGGTGTTGAGGTCTCCACGGCTGGGATCCTGGCTGGAGCGGGAATGTCCACAGGGCCCTTGCGATAGGAACAGAAGCTAGGCCAGAGCCGTGGTCACTGAGCAGAACTTCTGCCTTCCAGAGTCCCTGCCACCATCTGCTTCGGTCAAGGTGCCTCTCGGGGGTTTAGAAGCACCAAGAGGAGCAGCAAACAGCACTGATGGTCTCTGCAGAGCTGGGACCCCCAGGCCACTACTACCTGCCAGGCTGTACTGCCATACCACCCTGGGGCCCAGGTGCTGGCTGACCTGCACTTGGTCTGAGGCAGGCATTGGTGTCTCCAGCAGCAGTAGAAGCTCAAGGCCTCTGGACAATGATGCTGACCACCTCCCAGGCAGGAGGTGCACTGGGTGCTCTCTTGGTTTTGAGTGTGAACAATAAATGGTTTTCACAAGCAGCTTCCACTCAAGGCTTCTGTGCTTTCATAGGGATCAAGAAAAGCTAATTTTCAACGCAGTTTTCAGACCATGGCTTTGTTGGAGCTGCTGTCATCTATCTACCCATATGTTAGTGAGCGGACATGTCTGTTAGGTATCCTCACTTGGTGGCCAGCACCAGGAGCCACATTCTGGGTGCTGGCTGAGACTGGGCTATGGTCAGGAGGCTCCAAGATAGGTGCTGATGGCCAAAGCAGCAAAGTGATGCCTGCACAGGTGGGCACTGGGGCAGAGGATGAGCAGGCCACTCAATCCAGAGCATGTGCCCGTGTCCTGGGTACATTAGGACTGAGCTCAGTGTGCTCTCAACCATGGAGGGTGTTTGGTTTAGGATAGTGTGGACATTGGTGGCAGATAGGAATTCCTGAGGCGATTTCTTCTTTCTGTGGTTGTTTTCCCTTTGGATGATGTGGAGATGATGGGACAGAAGGTCACAGTCACCTCGATGGTTGTGGTTTTGGTTTGATTATAGGTGGTAACAATTTCATCTATCAAATACTAAAAACAAGTAATCCACAAAGCTGCCTTGAGACCAGTCTCAACCATAAAGTGCATCCAAGAGATGTTGCAGCCCTTCGCCTGCCGTTATAGGAGCAGCAGTGGAGGCTCAAGTCCTGCAGTGTGAGTGCAACACCTCACTGCCCGCACTAGGAGGACATCCCTGAGAGATCTGGCAATTTCTGGAAAATGGCTTGTGCATTCAGACTTGGACCTAGTACTGTTGTGTCTAGGGTCAGATCCTAAACACACATTAGCAAAAATTTAAAAAGATCTGTTCACAAGACAATTTATTAGAATTTTTAGTAGATAAAGACTGAAAACAGGACAAGTATTGCAAAGTTAAGCACGGGAGGGGTTGTTGTTTACCGAAAACAGCTCAACTCATAGCTGACTTTTCAGTGGGCTTTCAGAGGCAGGTGACAGCCTTCCAGCGAAGGCTTCGAGTCGGCAGTGTAGCTCCTTCCCCCTAAACCACCAGTGTGTATGAATGAATGAAAAACCAATCTCTTTGGGAACTTTCACTGGAATCACACACACACAAAACCTGTTCAAGGCTCAGGTGACTTACGAAGTGATCTTGTTGTTGTATGCCACCGAACTGGAACCGACCAGTTGCTGACCCTCTTGGGGGGGGTTCACAGGCAGTTAATCACATGAGAAGAGATTGCCCATCCTCCCGCAGAACAGCTGTTGGATTTGAACCGCGTGCTTTCAGGGTTCCAGTGCAGCTTCTTGCCACTAGGCCACCAGTGATCACTTCTTGTTACATGCTGTTGAGTTGCCTGTGACCCATAGCAACCCTGTGTACAGCAGCTCTGAACCCTGCCCTGTACTGAGTCAGTCTCACTAATTCCAACACACCAACCCCCATTGCCCCAGTTACAGTATCAATCCATCTCATCCAGGGTTGTCTTCTCCTGCGCTGTCCCTCCACCTTTATAAGCATGATGCCCTTCACCAAGGACTGGTCCCTCCTGGCCACGTGTCCATAGTATGTGAGAGGTTGTCACTGCCGGGAAAGGACCACCACACCTCCAGTAAGGGTGTGCTTGGTTTGTAGTGGAGACCAGTGCGGAACCAGTCCCCTGGACATTGGCATCCCTGGGCCGCAGGCACCCAACACTGCCAGGGCCACACCATCAGGAAAAGGTTCCTTTCCTTCTCTGGCCTCCAGGAGAGGCAGCTGCATTTGGAAGCAGGCAAAAAGGTGGGGCAAGTCTCTGTGTGGATGAACCACAGGCCTCTGTGATGCAGAGACGGGCACTCACACCACCCCTTCATTCTGCCAGATGCTAGCGGCCCCAGAGACCAACTAGGGTCAGTTTCTGCGGGGCCAGTGGACATCCCTGGGGCACCACACTGCACAGGGGTAAGCGCCAGCAACACATTCGCTTTTGCTTAGAGGCAGCGTTTTCAACCGTCTTACACAATGTCTCAGTTGGAAAAAAGCAAATTGCAAAAAATTAAAAAAAAAATCCCTAAAATAAAGGAAAAGTTTTCTTTGGTTAGGACAAGAATTAGTGCATTTCTTTCTAGCAGTCTTAACATCTGTTACTTTGTTTTCTAGTCTCTGCAGGAGAAGGATGGGCAATCTCCTCCCATGCAAATAATTGCCTCTGAAAACCCGCTGGGTCGGTTCAGACTCAGTGGTACACAACAACAACAATTCAGATGTTAGTTACTTGCTTCAGTCCAAAACAATCTAGCACATTCTTCCTCGACCTAGTTAAGAGTAAAACTATAAACAGGTCCGTATAGGAGATCTCAGAACACTCCATTGTTGCTTCATACAAAATAAATTCTATATGGCCCATCCCAGGATGCTGTACAAAAGCTATGTACACTGCCAGTAAACATACCAAAATAACATAAAGCAATTGAAAAGATCTGTAAGGCACAAATTTACTCTCTGGAATTGACTGAAACACGATGTATTAACATCAAACTTAAGGAGATGCCTTAGGGAGCTCTGGTGGCCTAGTGGCAAGAAGCTTCACTGCAATCCCAGAGGCACAAAGTTCAAATCCACCAGATGCTCTGCTGGAGAAGGAGGGGCCAGTCAGACCCGATTTGACGGCACACACCCAAATATAATAATTTTTTTTTAAAAAATCACGTAAGGAGATGCCTTGTAGTTCCTCCGCAGGCCAGCCACACTGGTCCTCAAGACCGCGACACCGCGAGTGACCGGAGGCCAAGCGTCAGCACCCTGCAGCCCTTCACCCACCCAGGACGGCTCCAAGACTCACAGCCGCGCTACGCCGGCTGTCCTAGGGCAGATAGGACTTGCCGTAGGTGGCGACTGGGCCCGCGAACAGCCCCAAGTCGGCAGCAGGGCGTCTGCTGCACCAGCCTAAGTGGCGGGTGAGCCCTGCAGATGGATGCCCAGGGCAAAGCGCAGGGCGAACGAGGCCAGAAGCGGCTTGGAGGCCAGCTTCAACTTCTCCAGCCGCTTGGCTTTGGCCCGGCGGTTCTGAAACCAGATTTTGACCTGCGTCTCGGTGAGGCACAGGCTGCTGGAGCACTCGGCTCGCTCCGCGATGGACAGGTACTGCTGCTGGCGGAACTTGCACTCCAGAGCCAGCAGCTGCGTGGTGCTGAAGGGTGTCCACAGCTTGCGGTTGTTCTTGTGTTTCCGGAGGGTGTACGGTGGGGGGCTGCTGGCGCCTGGGAAAAACAAGGATAGGCAGGCAATGAGTGCCTTCGCCCTGGCCTCCTCCTCTGTTGCCTGCGTTCCCACTTGGGGAAAGAGAAACAACGTACCAGGCAGACGCCTGGGAGACCGCGTGGGTTGCTGTGGATACTGGGTTCCCTTCCCAAACCTGTGTCCACGCGTGTGGACAGGGAACTCTGCCTCCTTGGGAGAAGAAATTCTGGGCACGGACTTTCATGAAATGTGCAAGTTTTTCCTGGCTGTGTTGAGAGGGTGAAACGCAAGGCAAAGGCTCTGCGAGCAGAGGGGCTCCCAAGGCAGGAGGGGACGCGAGCCACGAAGCGTCCGGAGGGCGGCAGCGGACCCAGCCCGGGCGGCTGGGAAGCCAGGAGCCTGTGCACGGCCGAGGACTCGGGTGGGTCGTGCGCGTTAGTAAGTACCTTCGTTACTTTCCAAAGTTAAGGAGCGGTTCCCGCCTCTGCCACCCACGCCTGGGCGGATGGACTCCTCACCGCCCGAGATCGTGCAACTGGGCGGCGGGCGAGAACCAGGCCCTGGACCCCGCGGCACCCTGCAGCCTCTCCTCATCCAGCTCGGCGGACCCAGGTCCTGGCCCACGTTCCGCCTCCCGCAGCGACTCGACGCTGAAGGGCGGCGGATCTGACCTCGCACCGCCCCCGCCGCGCGTCCTGAGCCCAGCGCCATTCACGCCGTGCCACAGAGGGGCCATCAGAGGGCGGCGGCAGCGGGCCTGCGGGTCGTGCGGGGTCTGGGCGCGGTGGTGGCCCCACCCTCTACGCCCTATAAAAAGAGGCTCCCCTTTTATGTGCCGCGGTCCAATCACCACAACAGCTGACACTCGCGCCCCTGCGCCCATTGACCGCGGGGCGGGGCGGCCGCCACGTGGGTCTGTCGGCTGGTCTGTGGCCCCCGCCCGGCTCCCGACACGCCAGCCGTGTTGCCCGGGGGGTCCTCAGTCAGCTCCTGCTGGGGAAGGCCGGGAGGATCCTGGGCGTGCAGGCCAGGCTCCGCTTCCCAGTCAAGAGCTGGTGCCAGCCTTAGGACTTGGACAGAGAGGTCAGGGGTGGCTCAATGAGTACCAGGTAGCCCCTAGGTTATTGGAGAACAAAGTAGTGACCACTTGTGTCTCGATCTTGATGGGAAACATCCCAAAAGACATCCCAGTTTGGAACACAGAGCACAGAGGGTCTATGGGGGAGCACAGCACCTTCTAGGGAGCACAGCGCCTCCTAGGAAGCATAGCACCTGTGGGAGGAGCATAGTACCTTCATGGGGAGCATGACTTCTTTGAGGCAACAGGCTGCCTTCTTTAGGGGCAGCTCAGCACCTTTAGGAGAGCATAGCACATTGGGGTGAGCATGGCTCCTTTAAAGGGAGCATGACGTTTTCAAGGGGAGCATTGCTGGCATTGGTGCCTCTTCTGAGGGCAACTGACTCTCAAGTCCTCCCCATCTCAGGCCCTCAGCCACCCTTGTCTCCCCTACTGTGTGTGTGCTGGAGCCTCTGATTGTCCTGATGCCCCAGGCAGAGTGATGCCCTCAGCAGAAGTGAAACTGGGATGGTGGAAAGAGGTAGGAAGTAACAGGAGGGACAGAGTGAGGGATTTGGACAACCAATGGGGCAGCCACTGGGATCCCCTCTGTCTCACCTCATCCTCCTCTGCCAGCTCCTCACTAAACACAGCCATCTATGTATAGAACTTCAGGGAAGATGAAAACCCAAAGTGGAGCCATCTTTGAGCACCCATAGGTCCAGACACACACACACACACACGCGCGCACACACACACACACACACACACACTTTCATCCACTCTTTGCTGCTGTTAGATTCTAACTCACAGCGACCACATACAACAGAATAGAAGTTCTCCACAGGGTGTCCAACTAGAAGCTTAACTGAAACAGGTAGTCAAGGCCTTCTACTTCACAGCTGCTAGGTGGGTTCACACTGCTGGCCCTTTTGATTAGCAGCTAAGTGCTTAACTGTTACACTATGAAAAACTCAGAGACCTCATTGCCATCAAGTTGAGACCAACTCATAGCTGACCTGCAAGAGGGTTTTCAGAGGTGGTAAATTGCACTAAAAGAAATTGCTCATCTTTTTCCCCTTGGAGGAGCTGGTGGACTCAAACCACCTGCCTTTGGGTTGGCAGAGCAATTCCTTACCCACTAGACCATGAGAAATCCTTTACTGCCCCGGCAGGGCTCCTCTACTTAGTGCATAACAACCATCAGACATTCACATCATGGATAAAGTGATGAGGCAAAGGGATTTCTGGTTGCAGGTGGAGTTGAGTCTGCTAACCGGCTGACTTCAAATAGGAGGACTGTCCTGTGTTGGGGGGATGGGGATGTAATCACAGGGTCCTTAGGCATGCAAGCAAAGCAAGAGGAAGAGAGTGGGGAAGTGCAGGTGAGGATGGCTTGTCCTGTCCTCTCACTACTGACCAGGAGGGGAGAAAATGGGCCACCAGCTAAGGAATACTGTGACCCTTAGAAGCTGCAGATTCAAGGGACTTGCAGCCCATAGAAGATACAAATACTAGTGACAATGTGACCTCCAGAGCTTCTCTGATGGTGGAAAGTGGGTGGGGCCAGGTTGTGGGAGCCTGGACACCTTCTGACCAAAGAGGACCTCCTCTGTTCACCTCTCCCTTCTCCACTTCCCATCTCACACCCCCATTTCTCTGCCTCTGCCTCCCTGGTCTCAATCTCTTTCTTTGTGTCTTTGTCTCAATCTCATATTGATGAGGAAGATCCAGAAATTCAAGTTGGATTCGGAAGAGGACATAGAATGGTGATATCATCATTGATGCTAGATGGTTCTTGCCTGAAAGCAGAGAATATCAGAAAAATACTAGAAAAAATAGTTCACTGTGCATTACCGTATGCAAAAGCATTTGACTGTGTGAATCATAAAACAATGGTGGGTAACCTCAAGAAGAATAGACATTTCAGAACACTTAATTGTGCTTATGTAGAACCACTACAAAAAGCCAGAAGGCAGTTGTTCAAACAGAACAAAGTATTGCATCGTGAAGAATCAAGAAAGTTGCGTGTCGGGTTTGGGTTTGTTTTTTTTTCTCTTTTCCTTTCAATCTGTATGCTAAATAAATAATCCAAGAAGCTAGTCCATATATAAAGAAGAATAAAGCATCAGGATTGTAGGAAAACTCATTAACAATCTGCAACATGCAGATGACACAATTCTGCTTCAGGAAATGAAGAAAACTTGAAGCATTTGATATGATAATAAAGCTCAGAACTGTACAGCCTTCAGTGTGGATTATACCTAAATACGAAGGAAATGGGAATTTTAACAAGTGGACTAATAAACAATATCAGGATAAACAGAGAAAAGATTAAAAGTTGTCCAGGGTATCATTTGACTTGGGTCCTCAATGGCCTCACCATCTCTGCTGTCATCACCATGTCAGTCCATGTTTAGAAGGGTTTTTGCTCTTCCGAGTGTGACGGCATTCCCCAGGGTGTGACCTCTTCTGACAGCGAACCCAACATGTGAGAGATGTGCTTGTGTCATCTTTGCATCTAGGAGTGCTTTGGCTCCTTCAGCTCCTTTCCTTAGCAATGTGCATGTGGTTATGTGCCCTCCACAGTATCTCTGATTGCACAGTGCATTTCTTTTTATCCATGCATAATATTTCACTTTTTGAGGACTTTGGTATGCAGTGACAGGGTCTTTGGTGGTATAGTGGTGCATTGGGCTAAGCACTAGGTGCAAAGATTCATGATTGGAATTATGAGCAGGTCTGAGGGAAACAGACATAGCAGTCTGCTCCCTTAAGAGTTCACAACCTCAGAAACCACACAGAGGTTTTCATTCTGTCCTATGGAATTGCTATATGTCAATTTAGAAACCATGTGGAGGTTATATTCTGTCCTGTAAGTCAACTTGAGGGCAAAAAGTTCAATTGATTTTTTCTGGTTTTTTGAAAATGCCTGTAATACCACAGCTTACCTATTCACTCACAGCAAGACATTTTAGAAAAGCAACCTGGATGCTCCTTAGAGACACAGATGGTGAAACTCCACCTCACATACTTTCAATATATTGTCAGGAGGGGCCAGTCCTTGGCACAAGACATCCTGCTGGCAAAGGTAGAGGGTCAGAGAAAGAGAGGAAGACCCTCACCGAGATGAACTGACACAGGGACCCACTGGGCGTGAGTGTGTCAGAGGTAGCGAGGAGGTGCAGGGCAGGGAAAGTTTCAGATCTGTTGTTATGGGGTAGTTAAGAGTCATAGTTGACGTGATGGCACCTAGCAACCACAGTTTTGGCAACTGGATAAAGCTACTGTGAACATCCACGTGTATGCTTTTATTGTACTGGGTGCCGAATCAGCTGGGTAAAAGCCAGGAGCATGGTAGCCACACTGACTGAGTGACAAGTCTGTTTGGTTTTATCAGAAATTGCAAGCCTATCTCACCAAGTGGCTGTGCCATTTTACAATCCACTTGGCAGGCACTCTCAGGAACGTCTTGGATGTGAGGAGCATGTGTGATTATTCTGCAGAACAGACAGGGCAACTTGTAGGGTGAGAGTCCATACCAACCTCCTTAGATTGTGTCTGATAGTGGGAGCCCCCAGCTGTCTGTTCTTCATACCAGGTCCTGTTTCACATACCTCAGCACCTCCCAGTTGCCATGTCATCTCTAGGTGTCTGAAGATCCCTATCCCCATGTTGACCAGCATTTGCTACAGTGATGTTCTCAGGAAATGGCCTATTTTAGTCTTTCCTGGGACCATGAAGCTTAAGCCTAGATAGGAGCTGTTGTCTGAAGTGTTTCAAAAATTAATAGCAGTGAAACTTGTGGCTGTAACCTGAAGAGGAAGCAAGACTCAGGCTGTAGTCAGCCTCCAACATCTGCCCAGTGCAGGAACTGGCTGGGGGCCCTTAGGGACTCAGCCTGGCACTGACCACACATGTGCATGACTTTCTGTGGGGTGAGGGTAAGCAAGGGCAGCTGCTCCTGCTTGTGTCAGGCAGCTTGTTCCAGCCTTCACCAGACTGTTTTCTGGCCAGAGAAACTTCCTTTGGATGGCCTGGGCCTCGCTGCTCCTTGATGGTCCAAACCGACAGCACCTGTGTCCTGTGACTATCCTACAGCCCAGGTAGGCTGTGTGCCTTGGGGTCAGTTTCACCTACAGCACAGATAGGCAGGCTGTGTCTCATGAGCTCATCGCAGGACTTTTCTGCAGCTTTCTCTGACACCCCAGAACTGTGCAGAAGCCTGCCCCAGGGCCCCCTGTGAACACCAGCACTGGAGCAGATGCCACCAATCTCACGCCTGGTCCAAACAAGCCAGGTGTGCGGCTTCGTGGGCCACCCTGGGTGTACTTCTCCTTGGGGCGAGAGGATCACGGTGAGGCAGCCCATTGACATGGCGCCTACCACAGCCCCATCGCAAGGGTGGACGCTGGCTGCTCCTCAAAGGCGCAGAGCGTGGCCCAGAGGCGACGTGCTTCTCCCTCCCGGGGAGACCCTGGATCCGCCACTTGACTAAGTTCACCCCTAAACAGGCTGAGAGTAGACGTGCTGGAAAGCCCCCTCCCAGGCCCCTTTAATCGGAGAAGCCGCTGGCTGGCCTGGGCCAGCTTCTTCCCACAATGCCCGCAGTGTTCAACGGGGTGGGGGGCGCGTCCTCGTTGGCGCCCGACCTGCCTGTTCTGTGCGCGGGGTAACGAGCTGGAAAATGTAATTTCAAGGGAGCTCTCGTGACCTAGTGGCAAAAAGCTGCACTGCAATCCCAGAGGCTCGCGGTTCGAGTCCACCAGATGCTCTGCTGGAGAAGGAGGGGAAATGTCCTCCTCCTGTACCAGTCAGATCTGATTTGACGGTAGACACACACAAAATAAAATAAAATTTAAAAAGAAAGAAAGAAAATGCAATTGCGCTTCACGGCCGAGGCACTTGGCTGGCCAGGAGTCAATGTCCTTTGTCCCCAGGGCCTGGCACATTCTTCTGAGCCCGCAGCCTCTCTAAGGAAGCCCCGCAGTCCGAGGGGCTCTGAGGGTTTGGAAAGCAAGAAGCACTGTGCACCTGCCATTCCCTCCCTGCCTGGTTTGACAGGCCTTGGTGGGCCTCAGTGGGACAAGGAGGCGCTGTGGCTGCCCACTCAGCGCTGTCCAGCAGGGGCACCTACCTGGGCTGTGGGCAGCTGCTTGGCATCTTAAATCTCTTACTATGGAGGAATCGGGTAAATCGCAGAGAGAAGCTGCCCATCTTTCCCTCTGAGAAGCTAGTGGATTCCAACTGTCAGTCTTTGTGTCGACAACACAGCTACTTACCACTAGGGCACAAGAGCTCCTAACTACTAAACAGAAAAGAGAATTCCTACATCCCCGTACTGACATGGCTTCCAAAATACTTTTCTTCCCTGCTTCAGTGACGGTCCAGCCCCACCCAGTTCAACTGTGCTCCAACCCATCGAGTTCCATCCCACCCTGTCTCATACAGCCCCAGCAGCTTCACCTTCCTTTCAAGAACTGTCTTGCCTACTCAAGCCTGGTGGAACTCTGGTGGCCTAGTGGCAAGAAAGCTGCGCTGACATCCCAAACGCATGCGGTTCAAGTCCACCAGCAGCTGAGAGAGGGTCTGCCCCAACTCGATGGTACACAACAACCCCAGCCCTTATAGGGATTATAAGGTAATGTGCAGAGACC